AACTACAATCTGGAGGTGAAGTCAGAAATAAGGCAGACATTTTTAATAGCGAAGGTGACTGACCACTGGAACAAACTACCAGGGGATATGGCAGATTCTTCTCTCTTGACATCTTCAAATCAAAATTAGAAGACTTTTGGGAAGATATGTGTTAGCCAATAACAGGTGTTTGGCAGTAATAAGTGGGTGAAATTTAACAGCCTTTGTTATCAGGAAAGATTCTGACCTGAGGTTCTGTACTATCTATCTCTTCTGGCCCAAAGCATTAATAATCCATCAAGACCCAAATTCCAAAACTAGGGGTTAAATACTGATTAAAAATAAGCTTGTTTACAGCAAACCCAAAAGAAAATCTATAGCCTTCCTAGAGCTTTCTCCTTTCAGAACTGGAATCCTACAGCACATAAACATATTCTTCATGAATTCAAGCAAGAGATAATAAATAAAAGCAGTGGATGACTCTGAGGTATATTTCTGAAGCCTGAGAAAAAGAAAGTCCAAAGAACTCCGTGCATGCTTCACGAGTCATACTGCATCATTGCAGGGGTCTGCAGTGTTGAGTCTGCTCTGAATTTGCACTATGGGAATCTCTCTTTACCTGCATCTGCCCAGCACAGCATTGATGAGTAAATGTCAAATGTCAGCCCATTTGGTAATCCAAGATCATCCTTTACAAGAATTCTTCTGTTTGTGCCATCCATGTATGAGGTTTCAATTTTTGGAGCATCTCTGTTCCAATCTGTCCAGTAAAGATTTCTGGATGAGGAAGAAATGCAAAAGTTAAACTGAATGACCAAAACCAAATTACTATTTTTAACTGAGGAAATCCTTTAATGAAGAACGAAGCAGCAAGGAGAAGTAATTAAAATAGGAGGAAGATGTATATGTAGCTCTGATACAAGATACCTGAAATATAGAGAAGCTGTATCAAATTTAGCAACACCTTAAACACACGATGTCCCTGAATTGTGTAGGAGCTGATTTGTCAGGTGCCAAATAAAAACCTCCATGTCAGCCATACAAAATTAGTCAAGTTACTCTTTTCTTTATGGAGTCCTCCAGCCTACTATTTCTACATTGACTAAGGAGGAACATTTGCTACATGTTTATGGGTTAAATCCATGTGAATTCAGGAAGAATATTTGCAGAGTCAACTTCTTGCCAACCACTGTCTGCTGCCTCAAAAAAGGCTTCTCATGAGACCATATAGCAATAACTACCATTAAATCAGCTTTTTACTCACTATTTTGCTGCTTTGGATATGTTCCCTGAAGTTGCTAATTAACGTGTCTTCTTGAAGAAGCACTTTGTTGAATAGTAAGGAAAACTATGTGGGAGATCTACGTTGGTAAGCAGAGTCACATGGGCAGACTTTTACACCCACATGGAGTCCTGATAAAGCACTTCAATGATGCTTTGCACAGATATGTAAGAATGCGTGAATCCGGTTGTATACCTGTCTCTCTGATTACACATGTTTTGCTGTGCACCTTGTGCAATTACATTTATCCACCTCCCAAACTCCATTCTTCTAGGTAGTCTGGGAGAGGAGCAGAGAAGGGGCTCAGCTCCCTTTATAGTTAAATACAATTTCATAGGTGTTAGGGGCTGGAAGGGACCTTAAGATCACTGGGTCCAGCACTGCTGCACTTGGGCAGGAAAGACTGCTATGGTCATATGACTGCAACAAGGTGGGCGTCAAGATGCTTTTTGAAGATCACCAGGGTGGGTGACTCTGGGTACCAGGGTACTGCCTCTGTGGGAAGCCTGTTCCAAACCCTCAGCACTTGACTTGATGAGACAAGCTTACCACATTTTATGTGAATGAGAAAAATTAGTGCACTATTTATTCTTAAACATCTGCATGCTTTAACTGTCACTGACTTGTTGATTTCATCACAAATCTTGTTCAGATAACATCTGGAAAGAGGATGTTCCTTCCAAAGACTCATTCTCCTTCTAGTGAGAAATCCATGATTCATTCCCTGATTCTTACTTATAAACATATCAAATTCTTGCTGCCTTGGCTGAGAAGTCATTGTCCTTTGCAGAAAAACTGCATGTGTTTTGCATAGCACTATTTTTAGTGGCTCTTCATTTTCATTCAGTTTTATTAGAAATTAAGCACTTGGATAAAAAACCCTTTTTCCAGGTAGTAGCCATATAATTGGACAATTAATTTTTGACAATAGAAATTAAAAGATACAAGAACAGATATGAATAAGAACCCACCCTGCATTAGCACGATATTTAAATTTAATATTACATACTTTTTTCTTGATTAACATTAATTTTCCTTTGATACTTGGCAAAAAAATGAGTCACAGAATAGAACTGCATTAAAATGTGACTCCAGTTCCACAAACAAATAGGACATATGCATACAACTATTCTGTTTGCAGTAAAGAAAGTAGAGGTGTACTGTATAGAAGTTACTCTGTGTTTATTGCTCCTGAGCACACTTTTAATCCATGGTAGACAAAAGCCAAACCTCAGTAGTTTACCTCACTTTCTTTGAGGGCTAAGTTGCTAAGGTCTGCTCTCATTTATGGCAGGTAAAAGTACACAAACAGGGAGCTACCAGAGAACAGCTGTTCAGTGGTAAAATTCCACCCCTGTTTCTTTCTCTTGCACTCTCTAGTTTATGTGCCCAGGTGGTACAGTAGAAGTGTAATTTTATGCACTCCAGTGCAGTTTCATTAGCCAAAAAGACTATTTCACTTCAACATTTTAGGTACAGGGTTTTCAAAGTATTTAAGTGTCTAAAGTTGGACACAGACAGTCATTGTGATTTTCAAAAACATCCATGTGCCTAACACTATTTGAATTCAGGAAGGAGCCATGCAGTATTTTTGAAACTACACCTGCCATTTAAAAACAAAAAACAGCAACAGCTTACTCTAATATTCTAATCTAATATTTTTAACTATAGCAATTAACTTGCAATATTGTGAAGGAAGGAACCACTCTCAATGTGAGCAGTGTGCTGAAAGCAGCTTTTCATGCAATATTTATCTCTATCACTCTATTATCTAATTGGCATTTTGGCAGAAGTTTTTACTTCCAATAAGAGTCAGAGTTATGTAACTCCTTAGTTGGATTTTTAGGACTGAATACAGGATAATGCCACTCCTACACTTCAAGGCAGCCTAAAGTGTAAATTTTCAATATATAAACTTAAACATTTTTATTTGCAAAGAAGAGCATTTTCACAACATTTACACTGATATTGACTTTGTGGCAGGTTATATAATCTGCCCGATTTCAGATAGTCTTTGCTTATACTAGAGAAGATAATAACCCTCTTCCTTTTTTAAAGGTCTTGAACTTCTACTAATCTAGCTAGCCTTTCATCTGCTATCTCTGGGAATCTCCCTCTTCACCAATTTTCAGTCCTGAAAACTGTTTTTAATCTTCTATCTCTCTGCTTTGTCCTCAGACAAGAAGAATGCATTGCATTTGAAAGCTTGTCTGTGTCTATCCCAACCATGCACTTGGCCCAATGAGACACCACACATATATCCTGGATCTTCCTGGCTATAACATCATTCTAACATTATAAAACATTTACATACCCTCTCACAGCATCTGCTACAATAGCTCTGGGGTTCACCAAATCACTGTCAAACAGCACACGACGCTGGTTACCATCCAGGCGTGCCACTTCTATTCTATCAAGTTGCGAATCAGTCCAGAAGATGTTGCGACCTAGATGGTCTATTGTTATTCCTTCAGGACTTCCCAAATCTGGAACCAATTAAAGAAAATGAAACCTCAAACAACGTGTTTTTTCATAATATACAAATCCCAAACACTTAACAGCTATTTCAGATGGAAAAGTAAGATTCTCCCTAAATACTTTGTAATAGTTTCAGTGCAATTGCAATTAACAACAGGCAATTTCATACCTGGGATATTAACACTATGGAAAATAATCACACCAGTTTTGCTTTACAAAATGTAAATGTAAAGAATTCACTTACAAAGTAGGCACATTTACAGGTAAGATCTTTGGTCAGCATCTTAAGCATGGCAAATCTAACAGCTAGAAAGTGCAGGAAGAGTGACTATTCATCACAGCAGAAAGTAATTAGAAAGTAATTAAAAAATAAATAGACATGCATGTGTCTTAGGCTTGAAAACTGTGTAGGTCCACATGGGTTCAAGCATTTTTCCAAATACAGGTTTCCCTCACTTATGCTGTACATGCATTCCTGGAAAATGGCGCATAACTCGAATTCGTGTACAGGGAACCCACTTTACAATGTAACAAATAGGGATACGTTCCAAGACCTCTACTATACTGAGCCCCAGACCCATTTCTACCACTTTTACAAGACGATTTTGGTACTCACCAACAGCATACACTACACACAAGCACAGGGTGGTGATGAATGTTACCATAATGGGGATGGCAACTACAGAAAGCTTGTCTGTGTCTATCCCAACCATGCACTTGGCCCAATGAGACACCACACATCTATCGTCACAGACGAGTGAGGAGCACAGATACGAATAGGAGACTATATTTTGGTGTGTCACTCCCACAATGCACTGCACAAAGCAGATGACTGCAGGCTTCCACTACACCGATCGCATAAGAAGAATTTACCTTGTGTATAACAGATTTTTGGTATAAAAAGGGTCATTGCATATGAGTGAATTTGCACATACAGAACCTGCATAAAGCAAGGGAAACCTGTAGATCGCTAGGCCCAAACAAGGGTCCCTGTCTCAGATCAGTAGCAGTCAGGAACAGAAGCTAGGTTTCCTGATTCTTAGTCTACTGAACTGAGCACTGGATGCAGCTGTCTCACACAGAAGGCATGCAACAGCCACAGCTTTCATGCCTCTGTACACATTTCGTTATCAATTAACCAAGGTTTTCACAGTGCCTGATTTGGTAGACAGAGGGTACATCTACACATATGCTATACTGTGGAGTCGACTAATTAGCTCCATTGCAAAGTGTCAGCATTCACACGTGTGCTGGTATTAAGGTGCAGTAAACTAATTAAACCAACCATAAGACAGTACTGCTGGGGACAGTACTATCTTACGACGGAGTAATTATGTATGATCAAATGCCCGGGTAGATGTTGACTGCAGGTGTAAATACTGTCTGGTTAGCCCAGCTAGCCAAGGGCCAGACTCCTGCCTGAACCTCATGCCCCAGTCAGCCCCTCTGCTGCTCTCTGCTGCCACCCTGAACCCTCCCCCCATGGTCTCTGCCAACCTGGAGCTGCTTTGTTTTGATGCAACTTGCTGCTGTCTGGGCACACGTATAGATGCTGTGCCTGGGAGCAGTTCCTCCAGCTCAAATTGCTCCAGAGCTTATTGCACTGCCTTAATTGCACGTGTAGAAGCACCTAGAGGGCACGTCCTCTCATGCAGGAGCGTGCACTTGCAACATGCACTTTGGTGTGGGGCAAATTGCCCCACATCAGGGAAACTGCCTTTTCCCCACTCCTCCTCCTCCCAGTGTGCTGGAGGAGCCGGGGACAACTAAAGGAGTGGTCTCCTGGGAGGGCCAAGCCTCCATGTCAGCCAGTGCATACTCCTTCTACATACACTGCACCACTTTTTTCATGCTGCTTTTCTTTGCTACTGGGATTTTCCAGTAGCAAATTCTTCCCCCGTTCTGCAAATTTGCAGCACAAGGCACATTTAAACATTCCAAGTGTGCAATCTGTGGCACCATAAAGAGGTCTGTGGTGCAACAAACTGCAATTGTCTGCATGTCTGGATGCAGCCAGTGTCTACTGAATTCTGATCCACACACTGTTAGTGAGTAGAGTGGCTTTCACCAGCTTTAATGAACCTGAGATCAGGTCCTAGGAAAACAAAGGTAAGACAAAAAGAGAGGCAAGGGTAAAAAGCTACTACAAAACAAATCATGGTTACTGCGGCTTTTCTATCAAGGAAATAGATCTGCACTTACTAACAAAGAAGTAAGCAGAAAAACTTCTCCCTATGATAACAGTCATGGCTTCTCAAAGGCATTCTTCCCTTGCTTCCTAAACAGCCATTTTAATAGATTTTTTCCCTTTACTTCCTTCATAGCAACTTTTAAGCTTAGGATTCCTTTCTCATTCTGCTCTAGATGGAAGCAGAAGAGTATTCCCCAATTGACAGCTACTTCCCACTGCTTTCTCAGGGAACCTTATTCTCATAGTCTTTTGCTTCCTGTGCGTTTCCCCCATTACAATCTTCTTAGGTTAATATCCTAGGATGCAGGTGAAAATCATAGAAAAAGAGGGCTGGAAGGAACCCTATAGGTCAGCCCCCTGCCCAAGGCATGGTCAACTTGCCTAAATCACCCTGACAAACGTTTGTTTAATTTGTACTTAAAAACTTCCGATGATGGTGATGACCTCTCTATGTAATCCATTTGTGTGTAACCGTCTGCACAGTTAGAAAGTTCCTAATATTCTAAATCTTCCCTGTTACCATGTAAGACTGTTCCTTTTTGTCCTGCCCCTTGTGGACAGAGAGAGCAATTGATTACCATCCTTTTTTATAACAGCTTTTGTACTTGAAAACTGTTATCAATCCCTCCTCACTCTTCTCTTCTCCACATTAAATAATCCTAGTTCCCCCAATCCTTCCCTGTAAATCAGGTTTCCAAACTGTGGTATGTGTACCCCTGGGGATATGCAAGACATCTCTGGGGGAGAAATTGTATGATGGTGGATTTAATTTTCATAATTATAATAGTATATGGCATTTAAAGGGTTAACACATAAAACATACCCTGGTAGGGGTATGCAGACAGCTGGTTAATCTGGAAGGGGGTATGCAATAAGAAGAAGTTTGGGAACCTCTGCTCTAAGTGAAGCCTTATCAGTGCTGAACAGAGTAGGAGAATGTAGGTAATGTTCTTATTAATACATCCAAGTATGTTACTGGGTTTTTTGCACATTGTTGACCTATATTCAGTTTACGGTCTACTACAGCCCCCAAGATCTTTTCTGCAGTACTACCACCTCACCAGTCATCTTCTCGTTTGTATGTGTGCATTTGATTGTTTCATGCTAAGTGCAGGACTTTGCACTTGTTGTTACTGAATTTCATCCGATTACTTTCAGATCATTTCTCCAATTTATCCAGGTCTTTTTGACTCCTCATCCTATCTTCAAAGCGTTTGCTACCCTGCCCAGCTTGGTCTGCACTTGTTTCTATCCTCCAAATCATTGAGGAAATATTTAACAGTAATAGATCCAGGGGTCTGATAACCTGATAATACCAAGTTAATATCATAAAGATAACCTGACATGCTTATGGTATTTGTTCAGAAAAAAATACTTCACATACTGTCTTCATTTTCCACAAACAGAATGAATGTGTCTATACTGTGGCTTATTCTGAGATAACTGTTTTAGTAAAAAAAGACATTTAAAAAAAATCACAAAATAGTAACACCTGCCAAACTCTGACCTGGTCTTAGAAAATAAATAGAGTAGAGAAATATTTACTATTTGTTTGTAAGATTTTTGTTCTAGGCTTTTAGAAAAATAAATGGACTTTGCAAAGATGTGGGCTGGGTTTGCAAATCTTTAAAACTTGGCAGTACAAAAGGAAAGAAAACAATTCATCCTTCTGAAAACAACAAATGTATGATGTTTTAAGTTTTAGGTAGTGCAATACTTAAAAAGGTTAATCAACCTTAATGACCAGTTTCCAAAGTGCTAATAGCATTGATCATAGTGATGTAGATGGAATTTACATCCAGTTCCAGGTTTTCTGTAGAGAGTTTGAGGGTTTTTCAAAATATGTTTTAGCGCTGTATGTGCATAGTTCTCCATGGACAGTTATCTGTTCCAAAAGCAACAGGAAATAGCAGATAATGACCTATTACTTTGGATTCAATGGCTTGTAGCTCAGAAATGAAGCATGAGAAAAAATAAATATTTTGAAAATATAGATAAAACATTTAAACTGCCCTTTACTCAATGTATGTGAAAAACTATTTGATGATCTTCAAGACACGTCGATCCATGGAAAAGAACGGGGCGCAAAATCCATGCAACTTAACCCAAATGAAAACACAGTTCAACGTCATTCAGATTCCCCTGGTATCAGCCGTTAATGAACCAAATAAGGAAAGATTGTGTGGGTTTATTTCTAGAGTTAGAGTGACCCTCCACAAAAAAAACAGCTGTCAAATGCAGAATGAGACACTACTGGTGAAAGAAAGGTGAAATGTGTGGAGTTTGTCTTCTATGAATTTTGAACTATATACTTTATACAATCATTAGAATAATAGAAAATTAGGCTGGTAAGGGACTTCAGGAAGTCATCTAGTCCAATCCTCTGCTCAAAGAAGGCCCATTCCTCATCTATATCATCCCAGCCAAGGCTTTGCCTAGCCAGGTCTTAAAAACTTCCAAGGATGGAGATTCCACAACCTCTCCAGGTAACCTGTTCCAGTGTTTTATTTGCCCCCTACTGAGAGAGTTTTTCCTAATATCTAACCTAAACTTCTCTTGCTGCAACTTGAGATGGTTGCTTCTTGTTTGGTCACCTGCTACCACTAAAAACACTCTAGCTCCATCCTCTTTGGATCCACCCTTCAGTTACTTGAAGGCTGCTATTAAATCTCCACCCCCCCTTCTCTTCTCCATACTAAATAAACCCAGTTCCCTCAATTTATCCTCAGAAGTCATGTTCCCTAGCCCTCTAACCATTTTTGTTTCCTTCTGCTGGACTCTCTCCAATTTGTCCACATCCTTTCTGCAAGGCAAATCAGTCCTCTGCTTCCAGCGACTGAACACATACCAACTCATAAGCACTGATTTCACACATTTACCTGGATTTTCCTGGACCCTCCTGAGTGTCCCTGTATAGACATTACCTCTGATCTGCACAGAACTTATACAGGGGTAGAGGGCACACATCAATCTGCTCCCTGCTCTACAAACAACATAACTATTTTCCATCCTCTCTTCTGGAGGACAGCAGGTGAGGGCACTACCTTGCTTTGGGGGCTACACGCTGAATGGGAGAAATTCTGTTCTAATTATCTGCAAGTGGGGGAAGGAGGAAGATGTTCCCAACTCCATATGGGGAGTCAGAGAGGGCAGAGGGTTAGAGACCAATGGCTAATGTTTCTTAGGAGGCCCTTGTGGCAGATTTCCATTCTGAGCTCCCAGGCAGGAGATTCAAAGAGGCTGTGGGGCCTTAGCTAAATATCTATCCTGGCTCACTGACAATCAGCTTGAGGAACCTGGACCCAGCTACGATGTCAGGGAGCATACTAAAGCAGGCTCTGTGTATCTCCTCCCCCACTTCACCAGTCATTCCCAGCGGCATGCCTGCATTCCTGGTATACTGCTGTCAGGCTGGACTCGCTCACAGACTCTGCCTCTGGGAAAGGGACAGGCTTGTGCAGGCATGTAGGGCTGATATCACTCAAGTTAAGGACAACAAAGGAGAAAGCCTCCCTGTGGAATAGCCTCTGCAGCTGTGGAACCTGGGGAGCCTGAAGCCTCCGCAGGCAATGCAGCTGCGGAGGTGAATGAGAGCTGGATGGGGCCCCATAATAAAGCATGCCCCTGCAAAACAAATCAAGCTCCAGTCACAGGAATGTTAATGAAAAATAATGCTCACTCTAAAAACAGTGTGTGCAGACTGGAACAGCCGGCTAGAGTGCATAGAAAGGAGGACAAATACAGAAGCAAAACAGGATCATCTAAAGTGTCTTTTGAGACTGGGAAGAGAAAAAGACCTCTGCCATTTTACATTTCAACTTTGGCTAGCCAGACCCAGCGTGGAAATGCCCATTCAGATACCTGATTGAGGAAACAACCCTTCAGTGTAAGTAAGCTTGCTCAGTGCTCTGCCCCCACACCAAGCTTATTTGAAGCTGCCTGGGATATCCTGACACTACATTGCAGTCTGTGCCACAGACAGCATCAGCAACAGGCTCAGTCTTTGGACAGATATGCTGCTTCTACAGTAAACAAATAATGAATCTTCGTTACAACACCACACTTCACTGTACTTAGGGTACCAACTGCATTTCCTGGCACATATTCCTGATGTCGTATTACATGCCTCCAGAACACAAGGCACATTGGAAGAGTTTGAAACGTACAGTTCATTAAATGAAAATAGTTTCTACAAAGTCACTCCAATACCATGCTCATTCCACTATGTACTTTATCACTATGTCAATAACAATGGTGCATGTTAATATTCTGTGTTATGCCTCCCTCACCTCCTAACTTATCTGCATACCAGAACAACAGAGAACTCTGGCTCTCTGAACTAAAACACTGGAAAGCAGGAATAGGTCCTCCAACCAATCTGCAGTGAAAAGGGCAAAGGATAATGACAAATGCCTAACAGTGCATCTGAGATTGCCAGTCTTGGACTGGAAAGAGTCTCAGGAGCATTTCAGACCTCAAGCTACAAAGTATGTCTTGGTGAGAGTTGCTGTGTTGTCTGAGAAGTGCCACAGAGAACCTCTTTCCTCCCCTTAACAATGCCAACTGAGGAGGCAGCAGAACATGATTGCTGTCACTCTCCGAGCACAAGGAGAGGTCCATTTGCTTGTGTAAGGAACTTGGAATTAAAGTAGTAGTAGTTTGATGTTGTCAAACAGTAACTTAGAACACTGTTTGGGTATATCTACATGTGCATTAGATCCGGGAGCTGTTTACTCACCCGTAAACTACTCATGAGTAACCAAACATTCCTGGGCAGGCATCTACACATATAGGGAACTGGGAGCAGATTTGCTGCTGACAGCAGCAAACTGCTTTCTCTTCCAGGGGCCCCACAATAAGCCCCTGCCACCACCAGAGGGAGCTATAACTTCCCTCTGGGTCAGGGGCAGGCCATTATTTTGACTGGAGGGCTGCTTAAAGAGTTTTGGTGAGCTGTCAAGGGCTGCAAGGGTAGCCTCACCCCTTGACATGTGCCCTGCCCCCTGGTTGCCATCTTGGAACCAGAAGTCCTGCCTCCTAACCCCTGACCTTTGCCATAGGAAGTCCCTCCCCTTGTCCCCAGAAGTACTCCTTTTGGGAAGGGGGTTTGCCATCTTGGAATCGGAAAAAAACAAAATATATACTAAATATCAAACATTGATAATAACATATTTGAATTTTATTTAAAAAAAATATTTTTGTCCTGATTTGTGTGCATTTGCATGGTGTACATAGAGGTGATTGCATAATCGCTCAAAATGAAGTCTTACTCTTGTATATTGCAGAGGTGTGGGGGGAGTATAGGGTTTGTGGGGTGACTGTGGGGTGTGTGGAGGTGAAGCATGGCTGGGTGTGTGTGGGGGATTCCTCCCCCTCACTTTTATCGCTGTTTATGCCAACTTAATAAAAGGGCTTGGAAGGCAAGTCCTAGAAGGAGAGGCTGAAGGAAATGGGCATGTTCAACTTGCAAAAAAGGTGTGTAAGCGGGAATATGATAGCAGTCTTCAAAAATCTGAGGGGCTGCCATAAAGGAGGAAAACACCTTTTCTCTCTTACTGCAGAAAGTGGTACATGGACCATTGGGCATGTCTACACATTCACTGGATGAGTCTACACATGCCCCTGACTGCGCATGTCGTACTGCACAGTCATTTAGTGCTACACAGTTATTTGGTACTTGCTTTAGCTTTAGCAAGTACTAAAAGACTGTGCAGTACCCACTGGTACTGTGCAGTCCCAGCAGCACATGGTTATTTTAGTGTCAGTGTCACAGTTTGTGCCCACCGATGCTACGTTGCTGTAGATCTCATGTAGATGTGCGCATTAATGTACGTTGGGTAATGGGTATTAAATCTAGTACCTCTGTCAGTACTAGAAAAATGTGTATTAGCTTATTTTAATGTGCATTAGCTAAAGAGCACTTTTTTTGTGATGCTTTAATGTGCATTAAAATAGACTACTGCGCATTAAAGTGCATGTGTAGACATCCCCATTGACTTGAAGCTGCAGCAAAGTAGGTTTAGATTGGATATCAAGAAAAACTTCACTGTTAGAAAAGTGAAGCAGTAGAACAGACTGCCTAGGGAAGCTGTGAAATTTCCATCAATAGCAGGGTTCAAAAGAGACTGGATAAGCATGGGTGCCAGGAAGGTCACATGGTGCTAGGATGGAACTTTCCTCCTCCTGCTGCTGCATGTGTTGTGTGGGGTGGGACAGGGGTCGTGGGGAGGGTTCACCTTCCTCAGAAGCATTGGGTGCTGTCTGCAGCCAAGGATGGGGATTGTGGCCAGTGCTCAATGCCAAAGCTCCCGCTGGGACTGACACCTAGAGATTTCAGTTTCAGAGATTCCTGGCTAGAGATTCTTGCCCCTCACTCATGGTCAGATCAATTGCCATATTTGGGTTTTTACCTCATAGACAGATTGGTACAAAAAGTGATGGTTTCTGCCTTCCTCTGGGGAGGTGAGGTAGGGGAGGAAGAGAAGGAGGACATGGGAGGAGGGGGTATGGCCCTCTTCCTTGGATCTCTAGAGTGCATTTTAACAACCTCTGCAGCAGCAGGATTTGGTTGGCGTGGTCCCCGTGCTTTACCTGTGGCAGGTTAGGGTGCTTTGTGTCTGTGTGATAGGGTGGCCTGTGTAGTTTTGCTAATACATTAGGTAATAGATTTTTATATGATGGTTTGGATAGGAATGAGGCAGGAGGTAGAACTATATGACCTCTAGAGGTCCCTGCCAGTCCTACTTTTCTATGATTTCTATAAAGTCTTTGTTTTATGAATTACAGAAAGAAGAAGACTGCAATCTAGTTGTGTAACTGGCTATGGGCATTTCAGTTGTGGTGTTATTCAAAGCCTGCATCTGCTGCTATAATCTCCTGGGAATCTGTACTTGGCTCCTAGCTATTGAGATGGCAGGTATGTTTAAAATGAAAAAACTGTCCTTGTTTTCAGGATGTTATTTAGTTGGTCTAATAAAAGATATCACATTTACCCAAAGAACCTAGTCTAAACTGTCCTTCAAATTCCTTCCGTTAAGCATCATTCCTGCAGACACCTACAAAACAGTTCGGCAAAGCTGGGCAGCTGGTGCCCTGTGACTGCTGCTCACACCTCAAGGCCATATTGCACAACCTTCATTATGTTGTCTTCCCCCCAGGTTTAAGACAATCTCTTGTCCCTTGTCCTAATCTTAGGTTGTAGGCTCTTGAGGGCAAGGACTGTCTTTTATTATGTTTGTAGTATGCTTAGCACAGGAGAAGTGAGGTCATGAGGTGCTCTTGAAAAACGAACAGTAATAGAACAGATGTATTTTTAAATTTAAGGCTCTTGATACACTTTGATTTCTGCCAGTTTGACCTCCTATGAACATTCTACCCTTGCAGTGGTAGAACAGAGCCATGACTTGGTTAAATGCTGCTGTATGCCAGGTCTTACAAACACTGCTAGACATTAGTCTGTGAGGAAGAAAGCTATCTTGCTACCTGTTTTGATGATGGCTGTTGGCTCCCCACCATGCAGACTGACTTGACTGATGGAAGGGCCACTGATGTCTGTCCAATAAACCATCTTGTCCTTGCAGTCATATGCAACTCCAATAACAACTTTATCCTGTAAATCAACAAGAGAATTACTGTAGCCTCAAATTCTATAACAGGTGAGAGCACCAAGTTTGAAATGCCTGAATTATGTGCATGGGCAGAGTTAAAGATAAGGGCCTGGTGGGCAAACGAATAGATTCAGCACTGACTCAAGTCAACATACACACGCATGCGCACACACACGTACTTCTCACTCATTTGAGTGCAAGTGCTCTTCAGTGGTGTCCCCACACTTTCCTCTCTGAATACTGAGGCACACATGCAGTCTTCATTAAGAGCTGTTTTCTTTCTCCTGTTCCTTACACTGTAAACACTGTTATACACTGTGCTGTGCAATGTTTGACTGCTGTCCTTCTCCCAAAACTTACCAAAAGAGGCTGTATTTTCACAATCTGTGAACTGGTCTGAGATAAATCATTAAATATAAAATACAGATAGTAAAATACAGACAGTAAAACTAGAGTTCTGGTTTAATAGGCTGTGTGTGTGTGTGTGTGTGTGTGTGTGTGTGTGTGTGTGTGTGTGTGTGTGTGTGTGTGTGTGTGTGTGTGTGTACACACACATACACGTGACTTATTAAAACAGAATTCTAGTTTTACTATCTATATTATTTTGATTTAAAATAAAAACTTTTCTCTTGAACAGCTGCAGACATACATTTGAGAATCTAGAATAGAAGAAAAGAGAACAACTATCACACATTTAGATTTAAAGTATCTTTCTGGTGGCATTTATTTAGGACTCTCAGCAGGCCTTTCATCATTTTGTATGCATTCCTGAGTCTGCCTCGTGTGATGCCTTAGATAAGATTCTGGCAGATTAGAAGAGAACGAGTCCAGTGATCCCTTTAGAAAATCTCTCAAAAATATTCATTAACTTGGGATTTATGTATGATATTTCGGCCCATCCAATAATACTAAATATTATAGGGTGAACTGCATATTGTAGCATAATTGCTGCCTCTCCTCACCAACACATCTCTGTAATTTAGAAATCTTGTTTGGTAGCAGGATGAAAAAATAGGTGCAACATTAATCAGAAATCAAACTCAGAGTTGTATCTTATCTTTGAAGCCCTTTGCTGGAGAGCCTTAATTAGATTTTTCATTAGATTTTTCAGACCCAGCAGTGTAAGTAACCAAGCCAGTTAAGAAGAATTTCCACTTCTGTGCTTGTGTTTATGTCAATGTGACTGACCAAATTTGTACTTGGTCATGTATATTATCTACAATTTACAGTTTATTATTGTATGGAATGGGACAGTTACAATACTAGATGCAGGTGCCATTATAAACAAACTGGAGCTGTGATGAAAAATGCAATGCCAAATGTTGTGGAGAACAAATTAACATGCTGAAGTTGGGTAGTTGAAGGAGTCAGATTGTACCATTTAATAAAAAAGCATACAGTTAAAGAGTCACAGGCCAGGAAAAGAGAGTGGAATTTGAAAAGCATCAGGGATTCTTTTGGATAGAAAGAAGCTTTTCAAGACAGTGGGGAACAGTGTGGGAAAAAGGTTTACCACCCATTGGGCTCAGGCAGGAGAGGGGACAGAAAAAATTGAATCTGAGGAGTGTAAGGAACTGACTGGAGAGTAGGAAGAGATGAAGACAGATGGCAGCATTGGGGGGGACAGGGAGAGAAAAGCACAATCTATGGAAAACCTTTAAGAGCAATTTGGAGTTTTATACTGGAGTGGGAAGTGGAAAGAGAGCCAATGAAAACAAGAGGATGGGGGTGAAGTACTCCCATACATTAAGCTTTAAGAGGCTCTTTTGAACAAAATGAGGGACACATTTATTTGTCAAAAAAATCAAATTCCTTTATAAATAACCCTCAGTTTTGGTATTCTTTATTAGTGATGTCTTACACCAAATTTGTGTGGAGCCTAATAAATTTGGGGATTCACATAAATAATGGTTATGTCAGAGGCTTTATCCATCAGTCCATAAATTCACTCTTCACTGACCAAGGTGACATTTTTTTCAAAGCACACATGGTCACTGTATATACAACAGATACTTACTGGAACATATAGCAAAGCTTTTGCATCAGCTTTCTTCATATTATTCCCCTCCAGTGGGACATGTTCAATCTTTCCACTTTGGGCAAAGAGTAAGTGTGTTCCTGGGGGCAGAGGAATTGAATCTGGTCGAACAGAGGGCCCAATAACAACTGGAGGAGCAGCTGTGCTCAGACCTTGTTGATAGATGATGAAAAACAGATGAAAAAACTCATAAAAATACAGTGAGGCAAGGCATAACCTACAACAGACAACTGGAGCCAAGCTTCTTAGAAAGAAACAGCCCTCTACACGGACACTAATAAAGCAGTTCAACCAGAAATGTCAAGCAGCTCTCAAGTTTTTCTTAATTGGCAGGGAGGGGGAGCAGATGACCCAGGATTTTCCATCTCAGATTTTTGCTGAGCCTACAAAATGATTGCTTTCTTTTCTTGAAAAATACACCTGCCTTTTCCCTGCCTGTTGGCAGCAGGAGATAAGGAGGCTGTTATTGTGCCCTGGGGTAACAGCAAAACATGTGCAGTCATTATAGTCCTCAGAGGATAGAGCTGCTTCTTCATGAACCCCTAAGGCTTAAGAGACTATGTAAGACAGGATGATAGCCAACCTGCTCACAGAAAGGGCAGAAAAACTGGCTGGATGCAGTGCTGTGCATGGCTTAACAAAGCACTCTGTAGCCCCTGGAGAGGTGTAGCCATAGGCATGCTTCTCCCTGAGACAGTACAATTTTATACCACTCCAGTGTGCCACTGTGTCTTAATGGTGTGACTGAGTCCCATGTTTGTGAAACACCCAAACCTAATGAAGAGATCAGGGGAAGGAAGATAAGTCTTTCAGCAACTTACATGGGGGTCGGATTCCTGGACCAGATCTTGTGCCATCAATCTCATTCCCATAACTGTCCACACACCAACAGTACCCAGAGCCGGAATGGCACTGGGTTGGTTTGTAATTCCCATATTCATCACACTGTGGGATAAAATCACCAACAGGTCTGGACCCTCTGGGGATGAGAGAGCCCAAAGCCAGTTCTCGTTCATGCTGGCATTTGGTTTTCTCCACTTCTGCAAAAGGATAAGACATAGTGAATAATTCTATTTCTAATCTAATCCAATGCTTCTCTTTGTTGTATTTTTTTTTTACAGTTGACCAGCTGCAGGATTGAACAGCAGAAGAAGCATATTACACAGCAGAAGCATATTAAGAAGCACATTAAAGTAACATGTAACTGTTACAAGCCCTCTGAAGTCGTATCTTGGAAGATCAAGTGTTATTTCACTGACAGCTTAGAAGTGCAATGCCACTGTCCCAAAGTGATGTTATTTAAAATGCATATCACTACTAATTTAAAGAGTGTAATTTCTTGTACTCTGAGCCCATATTCTGATTTTACACTGCAGACTGGGATTTAGTAAGCAATGACACCACATCCCTACCCTATCTTCAGAGGTAGCATCATCTATCCCAAAGGATGGTACCTCTAGTATTGTTCTATTCTTTTATCCATATGTGTAAATGAAGGGCATGTCATAAAAAATAAATGTGCCCCCCAACTTAGAAATGGAGAAACTAATGACCTCCAGAAGCCACAATATCTGTTAATTCAGAGGTCGCGAAGGAAGTGTTAGCATGCACGATTATCGAGGGCATCATGAACAGACCTCCAAAGAGCAGGTTTTGTTAAGACTTCACAAAACAGTTTATGTACTGGTAATCCCTCTCATGCAGTAGGGAATGGCATATGTGTCACAACATTTCCATCAGCTGTGTCTGCACAAAGAAACTCAAAATATACAATCCAATGACCTTTTCCCTTCTCCAGGCACAACTGACTTGGTCAGCTTTATCTTCCTCTGAGAAACCCTGCAGGCTTGTGTGCACAAGAAGAAACAGATCTAGTTGTGAATGTACATCCTTTAGACTGCTTCTCTGCCTGCAGAACCAGCTCCTCAGTCAGCTAAAAACAACTGCAGCAAACTGTTTGATGAAAAGGTCTAAACAATCACACTTAGATATATACATTTGTGTTTTACACTGCACATTGGCCTTGTGGGGAAGAATGAAAACCAGCTAGTGCTGCTGTGATGCTCAGGGTAAGCCAGACTCGGCAGAACACACAGCTGAACCTTCGTGCCCACATATAATCTGATGTTGTTGTCACATGAATACAAACTTTAGATTTCTTTATTTAAACTGTGCAAGGAAAGGCTTGGACAAATATCATGCACCTGGACATGATTAAGACCAGGAAATGTAAATTTCTGGGAAACAGCTCAGTGTCTCCAAACAAATGAAGTATTTGGCCTTAGCTCTGGCGTGGGTGGTGAAGAGCTTTTAGACAACGTACAGAACAGATCTTTAAAGACCACCTCCAGTATGTGCCTAGTATTTTGTGTGCTGATCATTCTGTGCGCTCTGTGTGTGTGCAAACTGACTGCTTCCTCAGCTGTGCCTTATACAAAAAGTAGGCTCTAACAACTGGGAGGGTTAGGCACATTATTTGCTTTCTAAGAGTTCACATTCTGTGCACAGCATCATTCACCAATGATAGCAAAAGCTGTACAGTAGCTGGACACTGAGCTTTCCTTTTCCATTGTGTGATCCATCCAAATTATATTTGGGAGAAATGATCAGACTCTCCCACCTGAAAAAAATAAATTCAAATACCAAAAGTTGGCCATTTTCCCCTTTCTGCCCCAGAGTCCTAGAATTAAACTACAGATCCTATAAAAGTCTAAGTTTTTTATTAAAAGTTCAAAGTTATAAATGCAAATCAGGAGGCGCTACTTCACGGTCAGGGCAGCTAGGATTTGGAACCAACTTCCAAGAGAAGTGGTGCTGGCTCCTACCCTGAGGGTCTTTAAGAGGAGGCTAGATGAACACCTTGCTAGGGTCGTCTAACCCCAGTACTCTTTCCTGCTATGGCAGGGGGTCGGACTTGATGATTTGCTCAGGTCCCTTCCAACCCTACTAACTATGAAACTATGAACAAATTAAGATAAGGAATTAAAACAAACAAACAAACAGGTAAGCAATTCCTTATTATACAAAGGAATGCATTCGTTTCAGTTGTGATGTGGCTATTATACTGTTACACAGAATGTATTCTGACTATAGCTAACTGGAAATTTCACAATATCTTAGAGTTCAGATAGGTCAATGAACTTGTTACATTAACCTGGTGGGTATCAGTTATAGAAAAGTTGACAACACAGCTGCAACAAAACCATGAACACAGACCCCACATGATCCACACAGTCACAAAGGTTTGCTCCTGTGGATCCAATTGCAAGATTGATGCCTTAGGATAATTCCTTTACAATCACTAGTTACTGAGAATTTAGAATGAAAGTGTCCACATCTCTAGTCTTCATGGAAATTAAAACTGTGGCCTGTTGGTGAGAAATGTACCATAGTAAAGACAGCTTTCATATATAACAGCAGCAGTTTGTGCTGCAATTTTTTTACGCCTCAGCTTCAGGAACATATGATTTATTTTCTATTGCAATTTGAGAGACTCATCTTGCAAACATTTTGGGTAGCTTTCTATTATGTTGTTCTGGTGTCTAGATTTACACGAAACACAAAGCCCTATGCAGATAACTAAAAATTTGGACAAGCACGGTAGATTTATACCTTATAGACTAACTAAATCAGAGATGTATAGTGTAAGCTTTCATAAGCAGAGGGCTTAATTTATCAAAGGCTGTAAAATTTTGGAAGCATTCAATTATTTTTGCCTTAGTCATTTAGATTTGGGTATCTAGACTTGGCTATATATCTGTGCCCAGACAGGGGTATGTGGCTAGATGTCTCAGCCTGGACCAGGGTGCCTAGAACCTGGACCTCCCAGGTCTTCCCTGTTCTGGACAGATAGCTTAAGTATTGGACAAGTGGGATATTGCCAGATCCTTTGAAGGGTGTTGTGAGGTGTAAGGAGATAAATAAAATGTGAAGAGAAGTGCAGGCTCAGCCTTGTCCCTGCCTGGACCATCCCCTACTCTCACTGTCTGACCCCTCTGCAAAGAAGAAAGCACTGTAATACATAAATTAGTTTTTCTAACTAATTGGGTGCCACTTAATTCACAAACGTTAGGGAGGGCTGCCTTGAGTCCAGAAAGGTTGGGAAAGACTAGTCCATACCGTCAGGCCATTTGTAGTACTGTAAAGATGGCAGATACGCCACAAAAAAAGTCCAGATGTACTACTGGGCTGTGTATACCATGGCAAAGACTCCCTTTGGGAGGAGAGCACCACTCCACTTCCCCTATTTGCCCCCAAACCTCTGAGATACAATTCTCGGTGTGGGGCTGTGCTGCCTGGCATCTATGGGGCAAAGACTCCTGGGATGGGGGAGATTCTGGTGCCTCCCCATAGGCAGCACTTACAGCTTGGGCCCCGCTCCCCCTACAATTCCAGTTATGCTACTGGAATTGGGAACATTTGGAGCTGGGACCTGGGGCTTGAACAACAGAGGATTTACATACTGCAGTGCCTAACTGTTACATGCAGGTAGCCATTTGACTTCTTTTTTAAAAAACATAGCTGAAAGAGAAAGAGCTGGAGATGCCCCCTTACTGACCCGTGAACCAGTGGTTGGAGCTGTCACCCAGGATGTGGAAGAGCTGGGTTAAAATCCCTCCTTTGTCTGATGAATTCTGAATACACGTCACCAATCAACTGAAAGGGGGGGAATAAACTCAGTGGGGAGGAGACCTGGTTTCCCTGATCCAATTAATACCATATCTTTTCACATACAACATGCACCTTTCCCCCACAAAATCAGCCCTCCAAAATTGGGATCCACGTTTTAAGCAGGGAAGCTGTTGTCTTTGCTGGAATAGGAGCACTCTTGGAGACACTGTGCATACCATGCAGCTGTCAAGATGACTGGTTGCTTGTGTCTGCTCAACAAACTGAGGGGGGCAAGGTCTTATGTTAACCCTCTCACAGCTGTAGCTATTTGGCAGCAAGTGGGCAGCTGAGAGTATCTTGATGAGGCTTGAGATGTAGCAAGAACACTTTATTTACAGGAACTAATATAAAGAACCACTTACAGTAAAAAACTGACAGTCTTGCTACTGCCCTTTGTTAGGGTCTGGGGCCTAACCTTGTGCGACACAGAGTAAGTCCTCCTGGGAACATCAAGTAGCAGAGGACAGGCTGCCACACCAGGTCGTTCCTGATGCCATACCTCCTGGACACTCTTTGTTCCCAGGAGGACTCACTCTGCCAGAGACAGCCATGACTGGAAAAATCTTTTTTTCTACGTTTTGCCCTCCAAAAACAAGATGTGACATTTACTTGTGGGCACGCTGTATGTGAGAAAATATGGTAATTCATGTGTACCAACTTGATAAATCTGACCTGGCAAAGCTGGTCAGATGTCATACTAGGGAACCTATACATGTGCCTGATGCCTGCTCCAATGCATTCTAATTAGCATGCATTCCTAATTGGAGCAGACTCAATTAATCTAGAGCTAATTAGCACACACCAGCAGCTTTGATGTCATGTGTATTCAGCATCCCCGCAATTCAAAATGGTGCTGGGGGCGTTTTAACTAAAGTGTGTTGAATAAGCTTTGGTTAAAGGGCCCCCTCTGCCATTTTGAATCACAGGACGCTGAATACACGAGAAGTTGTGAGCACTTTAATCAGAATGGCTTCTGAGAGATGCTGTAATTAAAGCATCCTCCCTCCCACCCTGGACCATGTGCAAAGACACCCACTGTTCTTACGATGGCGACATTTTTCTTTGGATGTAATTGAAATCTGATTTGCTGCAGTTCAGGTGTGTGGTGTCTTTTGTTGATAGGGCCCCAGCTCTCCTTTCCCGTACATAAGTAGCCAGGCATGTCACCAACATTATTTATAATAGGTTTTAAATGTTCACCATTATTTTAATACTGTTTACAAAGCTGACTGGAATACCCTGTCTGTTAGCAAACATCTCTTTGGTACCACATGTTTACATGGTGCTTTTGTCATAAGTTGGCCTGATTTTCAAGACCTGACTCATGTGTTAATACTTTGAAGCTATCTGTTTGCAGGCTTGTAGAATA